TCTTTAGAGCTTTATTCTGTTTAGTCTTTTATCTAACGATACCCAATCTTTTCATCCGTTATTAGCTTTATTAGCCTTTCACTCCTTTGTTTCGTAAATACAGCTGTGTTTCAGAGTCGTATATGAAAGCCACTGGAGCATGCGTATAGGTTTACACTATTGATATTTCCTATGTATGATCATATTATATGTTTTTCTACCTTTGTCTTTATCTACAGTCTGTTAACAAAACCCTGCTAACACCATAAGCTCTGGCTATACGAGAGCTGATCGTTGAGTTCTGAGACGTTTTTGTATAAGTTGATTGACCTATCAAACACTGCTGAGGTAATAAGAATAGGTAGGAAAAAATAATATCACTTGCGTTTAACGCAATGAAACAAAAACAGGAATTCAAATACATGGGGAGAATATTAACAGAAGATGGCAGACTCGACAGAAAGAGAAAGCTAGAACTAAGAACGCAGATGCAGTCTTATAGCAACTAGCCCAACAGGCCAGCCACACAGATGCCCCACCCCAACCAACCCTCTTCACCTCTTGCAGCAAAAATATTCATCATTATCATGTTGTGCAACTGTATATCGCATTGGCCTTGCAGTCTATTCTTTCATTCCATTCTAGTATGTGCGATCAGATCAATATCATGGATGGTATTTAGTCCAGCAGAGTTGAACTCTTTTATCAACGTCCGTCCTAGGGTTTCTTTTGGACATCCTCAGCTCCCTAATCATTTTATTTCCAATGTTAATGCCTGTTGCTGATTCTCTGTATCGCCGTCCTCTCTGCCTTACAACTGTTAGTACTAGTTGTCACATACCGCTAGTATGGCGTGCCTGTTTAAGGATTTCTCCTTAAGAACCAACAGCACTCTGAAATAGTATAATGTTGAGGTGTCGGCTCGTATTGGTCTAAAGGTATCCTGAGGCCAATATACACCCAACATATTTCAGGAGTAGGGCAACTCAAGCTATGGCACTACAGAATATATAATATTCCAAGGCGCATCTTGGAGGCCCACTACTACAAGAAGATAGCCCCCCAGGCTATGATATTGTACTATCACAGCCATGTTAACGCAGATTAGGATTAATGGTTAAACATACATATATTCTAGACAGTTCTGAACAGTGAATGATAGACAGTCAAGTCAATAATGAAAACTTCAAAAGACATGTAATCAATGCAACATATATATCATATAAGACTCAAGCAAAGCCTTCAAGAACAACTGGAATAATGAGAGATCAAAACCAAAGCAACACTGACGGATCTTTGAAGAGACTCCTAGAGTCGGTGTGGGTTCATCATAGTGACTCAGAGTGGACCTGTAAATGTAGAACAAAATGTCATCAAACCACAGATTCTTGCTACTTATCTTGTCCTGGTTGGCGTCACTGCACTCATCGGTTCATGATGACTTGAGCAGTCTGATTCTTTTGGAAATCTTTACTTCGATGGTTGCTTTGGGTAAACACAGTCACAAACAGAGTTCAATCACTAGAGCCCAACAAGCTCCTGAAGAAGGTACTCTGGTATATGACAAATGGGCGGCCTGGAACAACTGCCTCTCAGGCACGGGAGTCCAAACAAGCTCCTAAAGAGGGTACTCTGGTATAATGACAAATGGGCGGCCTGTAAGCTGATGCCTACACTCTGGCTTCCACTTTGTTGTCTGCCATGTTGATGATGTGGTAGTTGGTAATTTTGTGGACTGCTGAGTGACTGCCCGGCCTCCAAGGAGATATCATCCCAAGCTCAGGATTCCTTCAAAGATTAAACTAGTACTTTGTTCAAGACAAAATTTAAGTACAAAGGTGAAACCCTTGTGATCACTTGGAAGTCTGGCAGAGAATGAAGCGGGCGAAAGTTCTAGAACATATAGAAATATCTATTTCGCCAGATAAAGATATAAATAGATATGATGGACTATATACCCACCGGACGGGTCTATATTTGAAATGTGACCTGCCCGCTAGGGGTGTTAACGTCACGAATGTGTTGGGGTGGGTTTGATCACTCCATGACACGAGTGGTTGCCCAGACATTTCTCTCATTTCTCTACTTCTTGTGAATTCATCCCATTTTATTTTCCTCCTTTTTCTCAGAATTTTTTTTCTTCCAAATGAATTTTATTTTCGTTCTATGTCTTTGGTCGTTCTTCAACGTTCACTTGCATATGTTGAAACTGAAATAACAATAAATTTGAAAATACATAAATTATGTTTTAAAAACTATACAATATAGAGTTTCCAGCAAAAACAGCAGAGGATTGATAGCATCGTCGCATTTGCTTTATGCAAACAGTGTCAAACAAAGACACATTGTAGATCACAGGACAACAAATAACTGCCAGAAAAGTACAAGGTCACGAATATTACAAGCTTCAGAGAAGGTTAGGGCTAAATCGTTACTGAATAAAATTAAAGGACACAATAAAGTGGCTTTATCATTTCATAAGAAGAGAGCCACACCAGACCATAGATAAGACTATGTACAGAAGTCCAATTGGGAGACTGACGAGAGAAAGACCATGGAATTTCGAAAAGACGTAGTTGAACCATGCGGGATGGGGAAAGGGGGAGGGGGGTTGGGAACGGGAAAGAACAAATTCTTTCTAGAAGCTATTCGAGAAGCAATAGACAGATTCAAAAAGCTACGACAATGGGATACAACCGGGTAAAAAAAAAAAAAAAAAAAGCAAAAAGAGTTACCAACTGGCTAGTGGTTGTTTTCTCTTAAAACAGTGTCCTTTGAACTGTACACACTCCTCCCCTCGTTCCATCACAGAAGCGATTCTCTGACATTCACTTTTTTTTTTTTTAAATAAATAAAAGACCCCATCGGTCTTGTAGCGTGTGAAAATTTGTACTATCGATACTTTCCATTTATTTTATGCTTCAGTTTGTCTTAAGTGAAGGAAACGTTTTCAGCTATTGGCGGAGCATGTACAAAGGGCTAGACATTCTTTTTGTGTGTGTGGATAAAGCAGTCGCCCCCTCCCCCCCCCCCACCTTTAATTGGTATCCGTTTAGGACTCGATCTAGAAGCTAAGTTCGCCTTAATGATACTGGTGAACTGCATAATGTTCACTGGTAGCATAATTGTACAATATTCACGTGGGTGCAGTTGCTCAAGGAAATGTCTTTTTAAAATGGATCTGGCAGGTAATAAGTGCAATATTTGTTTATGTAACAGTTAATAAGTGCAGTGTTTTTTTTATGTGGCAGTTAATAAGTGCAGTGTTGGCTATCTTCCGAATAACGGTCCCAAATTATCGAGGCGGGAAATATACCCTAACAGGCCCTCAGTCACATGTAAATTGCGAACTTCCGGCGACAATCGCCCACTGCCGAAAGAACGCGCGGCCCGGAGTGGCGCTAAACTAGATGGCTAGGACTCAAAATAAAATGAAGGAAGCTGCAGGAAATGCGGTAGCTGCTGCTCGTGAATCCCAGCCATCTAGTTTATCCCCGCTCCGCGCGGGAGACACTCTCGGCGGTGGCGGTAGTCGCCGGAAGTACGCAATTTAAGTCGCCGGAAGTCCGAAATTTACATGTGACTAAGGCCCTGTTAGGGTATATTTCCGGCCTCGATAATTTGGGACCGTTATTCGGAAGATAGCCGCAGTGTTTATTTATGTGGCAGTTAATTAGTGCAGTATTTGTTTATACGGCAGTTAATTAGTGCAGTGTTTGTTTATATGGAAGTTAATTAGTGCAATATTTGTTTTTATGGCAGTTAATTAGTGTATTGTTTATCTATATAGCAGTTAATTAGCGCAGTGTTTGTTTATATGGCAGTTAATTAGTGCAGTGTTTGTTTAGTGGCAGTAATTTGTTTGTGTATATGGCAGTTAGGTGTAGTGTTTATTATGCAGTTAATTAGTGCGTTTTGTTTATGTTTATATGGCAGTTAATTAGTGCAGTGTTTGTTTATGTGGCAGGTAAAAAGTACAGTGTCTGTTTATGTGGCATGTAAAAAGTGCAGTGTTGATTTATGTAATATTTAATTAGTGCAGTGTTTATTTATGTTGCAGTTAATAGGCCTGGATTTTAGCACCTGGCTATACGAGAGTTTGAGGCAACATAAGTGCGAATTATCTGGCAGGCATTGCTATTTCTAAAACTGGTCCGGCGCTGGACAGGAGCCATGTTATTTATATCATCTGAGATGCCTATGGCGAAGACGAAAAACTGGTAACTGATATACACCGTATCTATGTCCAGGTCTGTGGATATGGGGTACAACCTGGAGTTGCTAGACTCGAAGATTTCGCTAAAGATACAGGAAGTCTAGTTTATCAGTGCAGAAGCAGTGTGGGCTTACTGAATTAGGGAATCGAAGCACCTATAGGTCTGGCTGGAGTGCTTTGACTGTCATAACTAACAATAATATTAACAAAAATGAACACAGACAGGAAAAATGTGAGTGGATTTAGTCACCCAATCAATGTGTCTATCTTCTTTTACCCCACCAGGACACCACACAAGCGATAAACACCCGATGACACAAACTGCCACCATGAGGACGAGGATCACCCGTGGAAAGGTCCCAGAAACCGCGTTCAGCCATTATACCATATTTATGGCTGGGCTATATTGCGGCTCCTGGAAAGATCCAAAGTAGGGCTTAAAAAAAAAAAAAAAACGAAAAATTGCATCCCATAACGGGATGACAGGATTTTAATAATCACCCCATGGAGTGAGACAGATGAATAGACTCACTGTCCTCAGCAATCTTAAAAAAAAAACCCACCAAAAAAAAAAAAAAAAAACGAATGAAGGATTTCTTGAAATTAATATGTGAGCCTGAATGTGCAGATATCACTACCTAGCTGTAAACAATAACACATCGTACCAGCCACTTTTTTATTGGAGAACGCAGAAAAAACATTAAATAGACTTAACTGGTGAAGATTAGGGAAACTTAACTGGTGTTATTTATAGTGTTGATTGTAGAGAATACTGATTACTTCCCCTTATTTCTTCAGCTTAACAATGATTCTGTTGATTGAACATCTGGTTGTTGCTGTGGTGTTTCTCGTGCTACTTGGTGTCTATCTGCGGAATGGCGCTTGGGAGACATTGAGAACTGTGTTAGTGGCAATCAAACAGATTCCCTGGGTCGCTGAAAGTCTGGAGTCAGTTCTGAAATCAGAAGCAACAAATTTCATCAAGACAACTAAGTTAGCTTCAGGAACTGGCGAGAAACCTGCTAAAATTTGGATCCCAAAGAAAGGTTAGTCGAATCTTCCACAGTAGACTATTCACTCTCATATTACAGTGCGTTCCTGAATTCCTGACGAATTTAGAAATCTAACACAGAAACCGTTTGATGAAAGTTGTTGAATTTGGTATGCAGCCCTTTATTAATAATGTCCTTGTATGTTTTTTTTTTCAATGTAAACAAATATTTAGTTTTCATTTTGCCTTACTTACGTAAATTAAAAAAAAAAAAAAAACTTCCTCAAAGCAAACAATCAGCATGCTTACAGTAACTCGAATAAATTAAGTGGAACTTTTCAAAGCATAAATTTTACGTTGTTCAGGGTATGTTACCCTCAAGTGGTCATCAACACCGGGTGTCTCTCGTGAGTTATTAGATGAACCCAACTTTTCATGGTATGCACTATGGTCTATTAAAATAATCCTCAAGAATCGCTGCTCATGGGAACTGATTTCCAAACAAGGTCCATGCAAAAGAAAAGAAAGGACTGCTAAAGTCGGGGTGATATCAAGAAGTAAATACCAAGTAGTCTATTACTTGAAAGCTCAGCGGAAAGAAAAAAAGTGCACAAATACAGCTGGAAGTGTCGACCAAAGCAATTCATCAACAAACAACGGGTGGAAAGGGAAATACGTGATATTACAAATTAATAACTTGCAGCACTATTATGGAAGGCCACGCAAACGAATTATCGGGGAAAGGATGAATTAAAAACAGAAATCATTATAAATAAATAAATAAATTAGAAAAAAATCTTGCCGAAACCTGCTTCAAATGGTTCACAAACCTAACAATACTGGCCGACCTATCTTTTCGTTGACACTTAATCCTTTTTACCGTTTTAACAATCCGGCTACAGATACAAGGTCCGACAATTAAGTAATAAGACTCATTTTATTACGGCCAAGACAAAAGTGCCATATATGAAGCAAAGCATGGAATCCAAAAAGGCAACCTTCATCTATGATCTGGCAACTTTGCATCTGATTAGTAGACGACGAATAAATCCCCTATGTATTGACCTAGTTAGATGTGCATTGTTACGAAATCAGCATGGAGCGAAAAGCTAGCATTAGAGTCTGTTTAAAACTCAGAAAAAGCGCCATTGAGACAGCTGAATTGATGCGACGAGCTTATGGGGATTATTGTTTATCGGATAATTATTTATCTGGTGCACAGATTTCCAGGTGGTATTCACGATTCAAAAGTGGTGTAGAAATGATTACTAATGCAAATAGACCTGGACGCCCAATTTCTGTTTGTAATTATAAACTCATTGCAAAAGTCACATAACGGATACAAGAAGATCGTTTGTTTTACTGTCTGAATGATGGCAGATAAATCAGGTGTTAATAGAGAGACCCTTCGTAAAATTTTAGTGCAATTTTTTTTTTTCAAGAAGAAAAGTTGCTTGCAGGTTTGTACTGCATTCGTTGCATGGTGACCAAATACATTAGCTGGTTGAGTACCCACGAGACGTCATCAAAGCAGGAATTGTTGGCCCTAAAACAAGTGTGTGTTCTCAACCATCCACCCTGCTAACCAAATTTGTCTCCCTGTGATTATTTTCTATTCCAAAAATTAAAGTTACCATTGAAAGGACGCTTCTTTGATGACATCCAAAAGGCCGTAACATCGACTTTAAGTGCCATAGAAAGAAAAGTGCTATAGAGGTCGTCCCAGTGTTTGTTAGATCTTGCAACTCACTGTATCAGTGCATCATAAGGGGCTTAACTTTGAATAAAATACAGGTTATATCTTCAACTGTTGATTATTTTAATTTGTATGGAATTAGTCTCATTACTTAATTGTCGGACCTTGTATTTTACCATGACATGTTTACAAGTTGTCCAACGGGATTTAAATTGGTCTCCCTCTGACCCTCCTCCTCTCTAAATATCTCCTTTGTCACAATGTACTCCAGTTTTCCCTTTTTTCACAGTTGCCCAAAAGAATAAAATCTCTTCGAAATTTATGTTTTCCGCACAACATTTCCGTGAAGCATTATCTCTTCTCCTAGTTTCCCCTATCATTCATCATCATTCTCATAAACCACTTTTGTCGTTAGGCGTCGTGGAGAGGAATCATTTGCTAAGTAGTGCACACAGGCTGCCATTGGCTAGTGTCACGCCGTGAAAGCGTAGTGTCTTTAATGTTGTCGATCTATATTTTCGTAGTCGTCCTCTTGCTCTTGTAGCTAATCTTATGAGATGTAATGCCTGTATTTGATCCTGCTGCGTTTCAACGAGATGGCCAAACTACCTGATCTGCGGTTTTTCCCGTTTGACTGTCCGTGCTGTTCTCATTATAATTTTTCCCAATCACCTGAACGCCATGTTTATTATCTGTGTATTGTGCCATAGATAGAAGTTAACACTGACTGTGTGGTCTCATATAGGCATGACCAGGGAAGAGATTTTAGCCAAAATGAAGTCACTGAAGGAGAAGGAGACCAACCACATGGAAGGCAGAATCTTCGCTTACACATATACACTGGCAGATGATCACTTTCAGCTACAGAAGGAAGTGTTTGAAATGTTTACAGGTACTGTATGCTGCTGGTCTTGTCGTGCCACCTTCTGTTTTACTTTTCTTCTGAGACATTGATAAGCATTTTGTATTTGCTTCACGGAGAGACCGCTTTGCGTGGATTTCAAATACGGTTTGATAGTTAACGTTCAGATTTTCCCATTGACAAAAAGAATTTCGCAATTACAAACTACTGGGCGTAAATGTGCATAGAAAAACCATGAATAACTGACACATATCAGGGCTGTTTTGGGATATCCTGTAGAAGTAGATGATATGCAACTAAATGTGCACTGCCACAACAACGGGGGTGATTATTGGCGACCCGTTGCCGCGAAGATCTATATGAACGTGGTGCCTGACACGGGAATGGAGTTCTTCAACATCTGATTTAAAAAAAAAAAAGAAAAATTGCCATGAATCTGAAATCCTGATTAACTTCAAACAGTTACTGTTACATTGGAAGCGGAGGTAGCGTAGTGGCCAGGCGCCTATCTATCTATATGAATATCTTGCGTTAGAATTTGCATCAAAGCAGAACGTTTTGCAATTCATTTAACGTTCTTGATTCAATACAGTTTATATAGGTAGCAGGAACTGACGTGGAAAGATGTGTCATGTTGCCCACAACAATGCCAGATGGTATTTGAAAACAGTTATATAGCATCATATGACGGAGGAGGGTCCGCAATATTGTTGTGTGTTTATCGCTTGTGTGATGTCCTGGTGGGGTACAACAAGCAAGCAAGCAACTAATTGGTATATTTTGCTGCATCTCATCAGGTCATACAACATAAATAATTGCATCCTTAGTAGCCTTACAATAGGTATTGAACTATTCTGAGAAGTAGGATTGTCAAGGTGGTGTTGACCACATCAACAGCAAAAGACCGCCTGATGGTATTTGAATACCAAAAAGAGGAAGAAAAATAATCGAACACCACATTTATAACCTTCGAATACAGGTTGAATAGGGTCAATTCAATGGTGTGGGGGGGGGGGGGTAAAAAAAAGGGGGGGGGGGGTTTAATCCCTTGGTACATTCAGCTTCACCTTAATTTTCCTATAGAAATCGGTACCAGAAAGATAATAACGACAATATCATGACGGTGCTGTCCCCCAACTGTATACTTTCTAGTCGGCAGGCGAACTTCTAGTTATGACGTTACCGAGGCTCCGGTCTTTCATTGTTACAATATTTATAATGTGTCTGTGGAAATGTCTTTGCTGCATGTCTCTTTCCTTTATCTTGTGTCTGCAAGAACAAACAGGTCTTTCTCCAGAACACGATGAGTTGGTCAAGCTATTTCAGAAGGCATTCCTCCATGAAAACGCCCTCAACCCAATGGTGTACCCCAGCTTGAGGTCAGTGGAGAATTGCTTTAGTCATCATTTCTCTTGTCTACATTCTGTGTATTTTACATACTCATGTCATAACGTAGGTTAAACAGAGTTAACTCCGGGTCATTGTCTAAACATCAGATAGGAAACCTCAGTACAGTCAGACGAATTTCAAGAGACACAAAGACCGAGTTAAAAAAAAAGTGCATTACAAAATAAACACATCCTCTGCTCGGACCCGAATTTAGTTCATGTTAACAGAGGTGTTCATTTTAAGCGAATACGTTAAGTTGGTTTTACTGTATTTGTTAACTGCTGTAATATTTTTCTAGGCAATATTACGTTCCATAGTTTACTATTGCATTCTAAACGGTACGACGCTCATACCATTGTTAAAATCAACACGATGTGGCCTGCTACCAAATCGGCTGCAGATGACATGAAACTCGATTTATGGCGATTCTTGAAATGCGCTCACCTTGTTTAATCGAATTATAACTAGAAGATCAGAATGGATTAAAATAAATGAGACAGAGAGTTGCTGATTGACATGATTAAGTCCGCAAAGAATGGACTTTAAAAAGTAGAAGTGATGCGTTAAGATTGTTGATAAGGTCTCCCTAATATTTATTTATCAGACTACCGTCTTGTGCAAATGGCAGTTTGTCTCTACCTTTCTTCCAGCCAAGTACTATTGATTACAAAACATAAAAACATCCTTTTAGTCTGTGCCGTGTGCGCTGTTGTGACATTAACATTCGAAAATGGTTTTCGTTAGATTAGGCTAAGTGCCATATGCAATAACATAGAATTGTACGACTAGTTCGCCGTGACTGACGACTTCTATCAACGACAAATTGCAGTTCTGGTGACCACTGTTTACGACGGCACCCCTACGGACTACCTTATGCATTTACTGAACATGCGTGTTTCTGGATTTTGACAGGACTAAGTATTTGTGCACTATTTTTTTAAACGGACAGGGGGGGCATTTGGTAAGCTTTTCTTATATATAAGAAGGAGGGATTTTAGGGTGACCTTTTTAAAGTGCAACTAAAGCATCGACTACCACTAATAAACACTACTTCTTTCTGCTGCTGCTGCTGCTGCTACTATTACTACTGCCACTGCTGCTGCTGCTGCTACTACTATTACTACTACAGTAAATCGCATTTCGTTAAGTTAACTGATTGCGAACTGTAGCCGCTATTGTCTTCATCAGGCAAATGGAAACAGAGATCGTGAGTATGACCTGCTCTATGATGAACGGCAACCCGGCAACATGCGGATTTCTGACTTCCGGTGGCACTGAAAGCATTCTAATGGCCGTCAAAGTCTATAGGGACAGAGCTCAAAAGTTGTATCCTTGGATCAAGAAACCTGAAATTGTGAGTTGAGACATGTTTCTGCAACTTGGCCAATTCAAACTGATGATGATGCTTTACTCCCATAATTTCCTGCAAGCTTCGGAACCAGATTATTTTATAACCGTCAGTAGCCAGCCTCAATATAACGTTACAGTTGAATGAGGCTTACCGAAGTTTGCACATTTAGGTTTATTATCAGTGAGGTGATAATCCTACTGTCTTGCAATCCAGGAGGATACCAATTGCAACGTACTCCAGTTCTTACATTCTTAGCCATGCAGGCATACGGGTGCGCTGAGATAAACATTTGTATGTATGTACGTAGGTAAGTTGTACCCCACCAAGACATCACACAAGCGATAAACACCTTATGACACAAAGCGCCATTATGCGGATGAGAATCACACGTGGAGAGGTCCCGGAAAGCCCGTTCAGCCGTTAGGCCATATTTCATTCCCGGCTATGTTTAGGGCTTCAAAATAACTAAAAATTGCATCTGACAAAGCAATGGCTCATATGAAATAAACATTTGTAATTTTCAGCGAAACATTCAGGAACCACGGTAGCGATCTAGTTATTCACTAATCTTCAGGCTAAATGGTATTCGTTTCGAACCCATCCCCACAGAGACATATTTCTACAACCGACTTAAGGCTTGCTGTCGACGCTGCCTTAAATAGGTACCAAATCAATGCGCTTTTAAATAAACATGGTTGGCGTGATGTTTACTATGGGTCAGCAGTCTGAGAATTAGATTATTAGTTGTCTCCATTCACGCACTGATAGTTGTCGGCTAGTCCAGTAGGAAGCCAGAATGTGTTGGCTTTGGACAAAGAATTTAGTGATTTACTAGGTACATTATGGGGAGAAGCGAACAGAGAATCATCAAGCATAAGCTATAATTTATAACATATATACTGAGGAAAGAAGCACGCCCAAGAGAAATCATAAAAAGAACGTTGATGACAGATGATAAAGATGCTTCAGTGGATTCCATCCGCGGAATACAAAACATCTTGCAGTGTAGAACTGAATAAAGAAATAAACCGAGATATCAATTACGAAATTGATTATCTTTACCTACACAGAGGCTTCGATTTCCTCGTCAACATAAACATCTGCGTCTCGTACACCAAGGGCCATAACTTAATCACATTTACCATAAAACAAAATCATTAGTTAGCTCTTTTGATGGAGTTATGCTATTTATGAGGATGTTTTCATTAACCGGGGACAAAGCTGACACATTACCCACCTAGTGCCGATGGGAGCTCTTCCAATAACCCGATGCACCTAAAGGCATGATAAAGGATCTTTACTTTACTTTTTATAAATAAATCTGGTCACTAAATAAATTACCCCTTAAAAAAAAAAAAAAAAAATTTACGCAAGAGAAAACAAACGCTGATCAGTTGGACGCTGCATTCGGGATACCCTTTCATACAATGAGTTGGTCAAATTGGCAGAACATAGAAGGACTTTGCAGCAAGCTCTGATGAGAGCAGATTTTGCAAATGACTTGCCTCCAGCGAATATGGTGCTGGGTCCACATACAGGAGTCGGGACTTTAATCCTCTGGGAGAAAGGGATTCTTGTCTGTCGTGGAGGGGGTAGTGTGTCTGGCGGAAAAGGGGGAGGGGGGAGGAGCACTGATCATCTTGTGTAGTAAGTTAGTTGCGTATTCTTTACAGGACGTTACAGAGCCAACACCCGCTATTTTGGCTGTTGTGGTTTTTCTAGTCAAATTTATGTCGGGTAGTTTGCCATTGTTCTCTGAAGGTCAGCTTCTCGAACCTAGCACTCCGGTATTACGAAGCTCGTTCGCGAGCCACGGACGCCGACTCCATTTGTGTAGGTCATTTTTGACATTTGTGTTGTCATCGATCAGCGTTTTGTCTAAAGTGTCCATTATACAGCTCCTGTCGAGAGGGACATGGATGGTGACGCTAGTGTTTGAAGCAACTGGCAACACTTAACGGTGAAGCAACTGGCAACGCTTAACGTTGAAGCAACTGGCAACACTTAACGGTGAAGCAACTGGCAACACTTAACGTTGAAGCAACTGGCAACACTTAACGTTGAAGCAACTGGCAACACTTAACGTTGAAGCAACTGGCAACACTTAACGGTGAAGCAACTGGCAACACTTAACGGTGAAGCAACTGGCAACACTTAACGTTGAAGCAACTGGCAACACTTAACGTTGAAGCAACTGGCAACACTTAACGTTGAAGCAACTGGCAACACCTAACGTTGAAGCAACTGGCAACACTTAACGGTGAAGCAACTGGCAACGCCTAACGTTGAAGCAACTGGCAACGCCTAACGTTGAAGCGGGATCGCTGGTCTGATTTCACTTTCAGAAGAGCGGCAGTCTAGAAGAGTTTGATTCTATTGCTCATCGTAGGACAACTGTTTACATCTGACAGTTTCGTATTTGAAGCTTTCTGTACCCAAAAAGCAGAGAAGACAGCTGTCAAAGTAACAAATGGAATGCCATTGTACCGACTGGAACAAAAAGACATGTTGAAGAAATATAATGAACACGGAGGAAGGGGAGATCACGTAACCATTGTAACAACAGCATCAAGAAAATCTCCCACCGCCCAACACGTTAACGAGGTCATTCAAGGAAGAGGAGAATTTGAATTCTATGGGTCTACGAAGTTTCATGCTTCGTACCAGGCACTGGACAGGGGAACAACCAATCTGTAAGAGAGGGTGGAGGTAGGTGAGAAATAAAGTCACAGAGAGAGAGAGAGAGAGAGAGAGAGAGAGAGAGGGGGGGGGAGCGAGGGAGAAAGAGAGAAAGAGAGAGAGAGAGAGAGAGAGAGAGTGAGAGAGAGAGAGAGAGAGAGAGAGAGAGAGAGAGAGAGAGAGAGAGAGAGAGAGAGAGAGACTGGCATTTATAAAATAAAACTCTACAAAATTAAGTCGCTACTCACCTATTTGAACACTGCTGAAATGGCGTAAAAATCTTTACTAAATATTCTGCAAAGTTTGGGGACAATCACAAGGAAAGCGAGAGATGTGCAAAGCCAAGACATGCTAAAAAAAAAAAAAAAACCATTAAATATAACTAGAAAGTTCACCAAAAGGAATGGAAAAGACGCGTACAAATAACAATCTAACGTCTTTATTAACTGGAGTCATCCCCTATTTACCTCAGCAAACCGCAAAGTCAAAACTGTAATCATTACTCTAATAGACCAACGCAGTGGTCAGCAAATCGCGACTCGCGAGCTCCATGCGGCTCTTTACCGACCTGAGTGTGGCTCGTCCAGTCGGCCACAAATCGGCTATTACTCCGAAAAAAAATGGTTCTTGACAGGTTCTTGAACATCAATTTTAATCGCCCTGTGCTGATTTCTGACTCTTTCGACTAAAGAGTTTGCGGACCACTGGACTAGCGTAAGGAGTTGGTAAACCACTAGTTGATTAATAACAACCAAGGATGGAGTATTGTGGGTCAGTTTGACTGCATCACCAGTCCGAAAGGTAGAGACAATGCTAAATGATATGATAATGATGGTGATAATAGAAGGATTAAAAGTGAGAAGAGGTCATAGAACGGAAAACAGAAAAGAGAAAGAGAGAGAAGTAGAAATAGAAAAGAAGAAGAAACAGAAAACAAAGAATTGGAAGAAGAAGAAGAAGAAGAAGAAGACGATGAAGATGATGATGATGAAAAAGAAGAAGAAGAAGAAGAAGAAGAAGAAGAAGAAGAAGAAGAAGAAGAAGAAGAAGAAGAAGAAGAAGAAGAAGAAGAAGAAGAAGAAGAAGAAGAAGAAGAAGAAGAAGAAGAAGAAGAAAGAAGAAGAAGATAATGATGGTTCTGATGATACTAAAATGAAGAAATAAGAGGGAAAAAAAGGAGAAAAACAGAATCGGCAAGAACAAAGAAGGAATTATAACTTCATAATCAGCGTCATCTTCATCACAATCATCATCTTCATCATCGTCACCAGTATTATCCCACTCATCATCTTCATCATCGTCACCAGTATTATCCCACTCATCATCTTCATCATCGTCACCAGTATTATCCCACTCATCATCTTCATCATCGTCACCAGTATTATCCCACTCATCATCATCAGTGCATATGTAAACGAAAGAGTCGATCACTTATTTGCTACTCCCAACACCAAACAGACACCTGGACCACCAGGTAACCATGCGATATCTCTCTCAGGTGTGCCCAGTAACGCAGCATCCAGCCATCGCCAAGGCTGCTCATTATTTTGGTCTCACTGTACGGTATCTCCCAGTAAAGGATGACATGACCGCTGATGTCTCAGCAATGGAACAGGTTAGTGAAATTAGAAATGTATTGATTACTTTCATTTCCCGCGTGGGTTCCGGGACTCCATTGTGTGATAAAAATAGACCCACTGCCTGTGCGAAAGCATGTCGTAAGAGTCGACTAATTGGGAGGTTCCTTAGAATTCGGAGTACATCTGTCTGAGACAAGGAACCAACAGTCTGCATGCAAATAACTCTGGCATGTGAAATGGATGTACACGCAACCCGAAGTTTCGGGAACAGGACTAGAGTCCAGAATTGGACGAACAACCAGAACTTTTCCGCCGGAGTTTACAGCTGGCGAACGCAAAGAAGAAGAAAACGATTTTTTTAATTATGAGTCTTTGAACTCTTGAAAACAATAATGCTGAGATGCTCCGTCGAATATAAGAGATTGACCCTCTTCTACACCAGTGTCACATCGGGGCATATGATGCTAGATATGACTTTATAGACCAATCTGCATCCAGGGTGTGATGTGGTTAAATCACTATAGCTGGTTTAAGTGCCAAGCAATGTCTGACGTGTGGCTGACCCCCTTGATTTACCTCCATAGCATAATGTGCTCTCTTTCTTTTAACATTTGGTCAGAGCATATTTAAGAAATCTGGCTTGCTTAACGGTCACTACCAGTATGTATATTGCCACTTTAAAAGTAATTCATGTATGAAAGTAACTCATTTATGTGTTCCTCTTTTCTGTACTCCTAGAATGCCTTGTGGCATCAGAGGAGGAAGAGATCTCTGGAAGGGTCCTTCTGTTCGCTTCGTATAAAATACTTTTCAGGGACTGATATTTCTGCGGTCATGTTCTGCGTGCTCGACCACTGGCTATGTTACCAATGTATCTGTATAACTTACTCTCTGTGGTGCCCTGTCTGATGCCAGTCTTGGTACATTGCCAAACAATTTGATTTCTTGTCTGCTTATAAAGTTCAGTATTGGTGGTGCCGGCTCTACTCCTTATATCATCGTTCTTAAGTCGATCTTTCCTTCTTACACTTAGTAAAGTGCGTAAACATTTAATTTCTGTCCTGACATTTTCCCACTTGTCTTCTCAAGAAAATGTCAATGTTTGATGTTGGCAACATAGCGTTGGTAAAAATATTGTGTTGAACAGTGTCCTTTTAGTGTTTCATCATAATAATTATTTTTTATTCAGTGACATCAACTGGATACTATTATGGACAAGGTCAATTTTAACCCCCCACCCTTTTTTTTCAATCTTTCCCCCCCCCCCCACAAAAGAAAATCCCCCACGTTACATATTCGAACTATTGACATCTGGCCGACAGTCTGGCATCAAGCCGCTATGCCACAATGGTTGACATGTAGAACAACTAAAATGACATTTGTTCTGGGTTTCGTGTGCAGAATCTTCTATAACCAGTGTTTACTATCGAGTGACTCCTTCAATCCATATATCTTTGTTTTTCTACTTGTATGTTGTACACTCTCCTTGCTGCATCAATGAATTCATTCTCATTAAATGACCAAATCATTTCAGTCTTTGTTTTGTCTATGAATTCAATGACAGGAGTTGTTCCAATTGTTCCTGTAATCGCTATGCATTGACGATGTTACCGGTGAATATATTGTGCACACTAGTGCACGTGTACTTATTGTTTAAAGACAATCTAACATGATGTCAATGCACCAGGCACTGAACTCCAACACTTATTGTTTAAAGACAATCTAACATGATGTCAATGCACCAGGCACTGAACTCCAACACTTATTGTTTAAAGACAATCTAACATGATGTCAATGCACCAGGCACTGAACTCCAACACTTATTGTTTAAAGACAATCTAACATGATGTCAATGCACCAGGCACTGAACTCCAACACTTATTGTTTAAAGACAATCTAACATGATGTCAATGCACCAGGCACTGAACTCCAACACTTATTGTTTAAAGACAATCTAACATGATGTCAATGCACCAGGCACTGAACTCCAACACTTATTGTTTAAAGACAATCTAACATGATGTCAATGCACCAGGCACTGAACTCCAACACTTATTGTTTTAAAGACAATCTAACATGATGTCAATGCACCAGGCACTGAACTCCAACACTTATTGTTTTAAAGACAATCTAACATGATGTCAATGCACCAGGCACTGAACTCCAACACTTATTGTTTAAAGACAATCTAACATGATGTCAATGCACCAGGCACTGAACTCCAACACTTATTGTTTAAAAGACAATCTAACATGATGTCAATGCACCAGGCACTGAACTCCAACACTTATTGTTTAAAGACAATCTAACATGATGTCAATGCACCAGGCACTGAACTCCAACACTTATTGTTTAAAGACAATCTAACATGATGTCAATGCACCAGGCACTGAACTCCAACACTTATTGTTTAAAGACAATCTAACATGATTGTTCAATGCACCAGGCACTGACCACTCCAACACTTATTGTTTAAAGACAATCTAACATGATGTCAATGCACCAGGCACTGAACTCCAACACTTATTGTTTAAAGACAATCTAACATGATGTCAATGCACCAGGCACTGAACTCCAACACTTATTGTTTAAAGACAATCTAACATGATGTCAATGCACCAGGCACTGAACTCCAACACTGTGTTGGTGGCTTGCTCAGCGCCACAATTCTGTCATGGCGTCCTGGACCCAGTGGAGGAGATATCCAACATGGCTGCCAAGCACGGTCTTCCGTGTCACGTGGATGCATGCTTTGGTGGCTTCATGCTGCCTTGGTGAGGCCTGTTTACATACAGTTAGTTATTGCTTTCTTGTATACAGTACAGGTGTACAGCATCCACTAGCACAACCGACAGATGAATCGGGAAAAGAAGCTAAAAGAGGAAACGAAAGACGATAATGAGGAAGTACAGGAGGACTCGTCAACATGTGAGACAAGGAGATCAGAAAATATTAGTAGCAACAGCAATAGGAGCAGCAGCAGCAGCAGCAGCAGTAGTAGTTTTATTAGTAGTAAAAGCAGCAGTAGTAGTAGCAGTAATGGTAGTAGTACTTGTTGTTGATGTTGTTGGTGATGTTGTAAAATTATTTAATAATAATCATAAAAAGAAACGAAAGCAGGAGAATATAATAATAATAATAATAATAGTAATAATAATAATCATGGTAGTAGTACTTGTTGTTGATGTTGTTGTTGTAAAAGTATTTAATAATAATCAGAAAAAGAAACCAAAGGAGAATAATACTTTACTTTACTTTACTTAGTCGCTCCTCTTCTACCTTGGGGTGTAGAGGTTTGCCAGAGAGTTCGCCAGACGTCTCTATCAGCAGTTTTCTTTCTGGCTTTGTTCCATTCCAGTCCTCTGTCAGTTAGGGACTGTCGGATGTTGTCTTCCCAGCGCTCCCTGGGTCGTCCCGGAGGTCTGGTTCCCTGGTTCTTAGCCTCCCATGCTTGCCATGGTGGCCGATTTTCTCCCATTCTGCATACATGTCCAAACCATCGTAACTGTGACTGATCTACTCGGGTTAGTAAGGGCTGGGTATCAAGATCTTGACGTATTGTCTGATTGCGGACTTTGTCCCTTCTAGTCACTTAGACCAGCTTTCTCAGGTATCTCATTTCCGAGGCATGCAGCTGGCTTCTGTGAGCTGTTGTCATTGCCCATGACTCACACCCATAGGTCAGGACTGGTACATAGTAAGTTGGACTGAAGGTGTGCCTCTGATTTAGCTACCAGGGCCTCATCGTCTGCAAAAGCCAGCTCTGATATACAGATTGGTCTCATCTTCCAGTACCCTACAGAGTACTTCTTTGTCTTCTCCTTACAGGTCTTGATGACATCATCCATCATAAGAATGAAGAGGTAAGGTGAGAGAATATCACCTTGTCTAACACCGCTGGCAGTCTTGAATTCTTCTGACTTTTGGTCTGCTGTTCTTACATAATTTATGCACCTTTTGTAGAAACTCTGTATTGCACTGATCAGGGGTGCTGGGATGTTTTTCTCTGCCAAGCAGTCCCAGAGTTTGTTCCAGGGTACCTTGTCAAATGCCTTTTCCAAATCCAAAAAAAAAAAAAAAAAAAAACATAAGTGCATCTCACTCTTATATTCCAGGGCTTTTTCATTCATCTGTCTCAGTGTGAAGATAAGGTCTTGAGTACTTCGGTTTGCTCTGAAGCCGCATTGGGCCTCGTCCAGCTGTGGCTCTACCAGACTTCTAAGTCTCTGCTCAAGAATTCTAGAGTAACTTTCACCGGGAACGCTGAGGAGGGATATGCCTCTGTGGTTTTCACATTGTCTGTTATCACCTTTTTTAAATATAAGTATAATGATGGCAATCTCCCAATCTTTTGGTATAGTTTTGCTACACCAGGCTGCCTGGAGAACCTTCAGTAGAAGGCGCTCACCTTCGACTCCCATATATTTGACCATCTCTGGTGTTATACAATCATGACCTGCTGCTTTTCCCAGCTTAATCTTCTCAATTGCTGCCTTTAATTCTTCCATCCTGATGTTATCTTCCCCATGATTGAATTCCTTCTCAGCAGTGAGGTCCATTATTTCTGGGTCATGACTTCCCTCAACGCCGAGGAGCTCTGAGAAGTATTTTTTCCATGATATCATTTGTAGAAGTAAGCAGAGCCCCTTCCTTGTCTTTTATGAATTTAAGTGGGCACTCTTTCTCCTTCCTCATGTTCTTAAGGGTCTTGTAGAACAGTTTTTGGTTTTCTCTTGCATTCTTTTCCAACTTTTCTCCAAACTCTTCCCATGATTTCTGTTTTGCTTTAAGCACAATATTTTTGGTATCTGTTCTGAGTGCCACATATTGTTTATATTTTTCTATTTCTTCAGCTGTGTTCCTGGCTGCCAGGTATTGCTTCCATGCCCTTTTCTTTTATCCTATTTTCAATTTGACTTCTTCCGTCCACCAAGGTGTCCTATGTCCCCGCCTTGCACTCGGGACTTTACCACATGCTTCTACTGCAGCCGCTGTGAGGATATTCTTGAATCTGCACCAGAGGGTTTCAGTGTCCTCTGATGATTCTTCTTCAGTTCCTATTGCTTTCACTATAAGCTCTTGGTATCTAGCCTTAATATCTGGCTCTCTTAGCTTGTATGCTTTAATCCTCATCCCTTCTTGGTTGCTTGGTTTCTTGCATAGTTGTCGGTGTTGCCTTGTTGGAGCAGTTCTTTCAGTTGTTCTCTTTATTGTGACCAGATAGTGGTCACTTCCAATCTCTGGTCCTCTCATAACTCTGGCATCTCTCACAAACTTGAATGAACTTTTCCTAACTATGGCGTAGTCAATGATGGATTTTTCATTCTTTGAAGGTTCACATCTTGTGTATGCATGTATACGCTTGTGGGGGAATTTTGTGTACGCTAGGAGAATAATAATAATAATTATAATAACAATAAGAATAAGAAGAAGAAGAAGAAGAAGAAGAAGAAGAAGAAGAAGAAGAAGAAGAAGAAGAAGAAGAAGAAGAAGAAGAAGAAGAGGAAGAAGAAGAGGAGGAGGAAGAAGAAGAAGTAGAAAAGAAGAAGAAGAAGAGAAGGAGAAGGAGGAGGAAGAAGAAGATATGAGGGATGGGAGACAATGAAAAAGAGGAGGAGAAAGAGGAACAGAAGGAGGCAAATAAAGGATTAGGAGACCGGGAGAGTAGACAGAGAAGCACGACTAGAAGGGTATATACACCAAGAAGAATTAAATAAGGAGAAAATTATACACATGATAAGAAACAGTTGTCTTTGAAGCAATACCACAGTTGCTCACCTGTGCATCAAACGTTTAGTATAAATGTATATCTTTGATTCAGGGTTGAGAAGTTAGGCTACCCTGTACCTAAGTGGGACTTCAGATGTCCTGGAGTTACATCAATCTCTGCCGACATTCATAAATACGGTTACACTGTCAAGGTTAGTTATGCACTGAGTGTGAGACTGTCAAGGTTAGTTATGCACTGAGTGTGAGACTGTCAAGGTTAGTTATGCACTGAGTGTGAGACTGTCAAGGTTAGTTATGCACGGAGTGTGAGACTGTCAAGGTTAGTCATGCACGGAGTGTGAGACTGTCATAGTTAGTTATGCACGGAGTGTGAGACTGTCAAGGTTAGTTATGCACGGAGTGTGAGACTGTCAAAGTTAGTTATGCACGGAGTGTGAGACTGTCATAGTTAGTTATGCACGGAGTGTGAGACTGTCATAGTTAGTTATGCACGGAGTGTGAGACTGTCATAGTTAGTTATGCACGGAGTGTGAGACTGTCATAGTTAGTTATGCACGGAGTGTGAGACTGTCAAAGTTAGTTATGCACGGAGTGTGAGACTGTCAAGGTTAGTTATGCACGGAGTGTGAGACTGTCAAGGTTAGTTATGCACGGAGTGTGAGACTGTCAAAGTTAGTTATGCACGGAGTGTGAGACTGTCATAGTTAGTTATGCACGGAGTGTGAGACTGTCAAGGTTAGTTATGCACGGAGTGTGAGACTGTCAAAGTTAGTTATGCACGGAGTGTGAGACTGTCAAAGTTAGTTATGCACGGAGTGTGAGACTGTCAAAGTTAGTTATGCACGGAGTGTGAGACTGTCAAAGTTAGTTATGCACTGAGTGTGAGACTGTCAAGGTTAGTTATGCACGGAGTGTGAGACTGTCAAGGTTAGTTATGCACGGAGTGTGAGACTGTCAAAGTTAGTTATGCACGGAGTGTGAGACTGTCAAAGTTAGTTATGCACGGAGTGTGAGACTGTCAAAGTTAGTTATGCACGGAGTGTGAGACTGTCAAAGTTAGTTATGCACTGAGTGTGAGACTGTCAAAGTTAGTTATGCACTGAGTGTGAGACTGTCAAAGTTAGTTATGCACGGAGTGTGAGACTGTCAAGGTTAGTTATGCACGGAGTGTGAGACTGTCAAGGTTAGTTATGCACGGAGTGTGAGACTGTCAAGGTTAGTTATGCACTGAGTGTGAGACTGTCATAGTTAGTTATGCACGGATTGTGAGACTGTCAAGGTTAGTTATGCACTGAGTGTGAGACTGTCATAGTTAGTTATGCACGGAGTGTGAGACTGTCAAGGTTAGTTATGCACGGAGTGTGAGACTGTCAAGGTTAGTTATGCACTGAGTGTGAGACTGTCATAGTTAGTTATGCACGGAGTGTGAGACTGTCAAAGTTAGTTATGCACTGAGTGTGAGACTGTCATAGTTAGTTATGCACTGAGTGTGAGACTGTCATAGTTAGTTATGCACTGAGTGTGAGACTGTCAAGGTTAGTTATGCACTGAGTGTGAGACTGTCAAGGTTAGTTATGCACTGAGTGTGAGACTGTCAAAGTTAGTTATGCACTGAGTTTGAGACTGTCAAGGTTAGTTATGCACTGAGTGTGAGACTGTCAAAGTTAGTTATGCACTGAGTGTGAGACTGTCAAGGTTAGTTATGCACTGAGTGTGAGACTGTCAAGGTTAGTTATGCACGGAGTGTGAGTCTGTCAAGGTTAGTTATGCACTGAGTGTGAGACTGTCAAGGTTAGTTATGCACTGAGTGTGAGACTGTCAAGGTTAGTTACGCACTGAGTGTGAGACTGTCAAAGTTAGTTATGCACTGAGTGTGAGACTGTCAAGGTTAGTTATGCACTGAGTGTGAGACTGTCAAGGTTAGTTATGCACGGAGTGTGAGACTGTCAAAGTTAGTTATGCACTGAGTGTGAGTCTGTCAAAGTTAGTTATGCACGGAGTGTGAGTCTGTCAAAGTTAGTTATGCACGGAGTGTGAGACTGTCACATATTTTCTTCTTATTATTTTTTAAGAGAATGTGTAATTGTAATTACACAGGAATGGACGGACAGGAGGCACCGAATGTGAGCCTTAGGTGACGTAGCAAAGATCACAGCATGATAATGATGTGACGCTATACTGATTTTCAGTCATACGATTTAACTGGTAAAGGTCTCCTCCATGGCGAAGTGGTAAGGCAGTCTGCTTCACAGCCTATTCATTTAGCTGGACTCTTTTTAATTCGAGTGCCTGTTTCGTGCAGAGTGGCAAGCATCGTTTTAGAGGTCCCCGGTAGTGGCGTCTTTTGGATTTTTTCATCAGGCATGACGGTGTGTTAGGAAATGAGCAGGTAGATTGACTGGCTGGTACTGCACCACTTGGTGGTAAAATGATGTATGCTGAGCTAAATGTTGTGGGGGCCCTTTAGAAGCCAGTGAACAGTACGGAGGCACACATTGATCATTACGGTATGAGGAGAATGCGTTTACGAGGAGGTACCAAGGGATCTGGCCGACGCTCAACACTCAAGGGGACGGATGTACAATCAGACAGTTAGTCGTGCCATTGAAATTGGAACTCTTCGCTTGCTGCTGAAGATGGAGGACGGAGTGCTTATGGAAATGTCACAAGTGCTGCGATGTCGATTCTTAATTCAACATTCGGGGTGCAGGGTTTTTGACTATCGATGGAAACAATCGATGCGGTTATAGAGTTCGTACATTTTGCAGACTTCTAATCTGGCAAACATCCACTTTGCAGAGAGAGACATCACTGGAATAAAACTCTATTCGTTTTTCACTTCCATGACTTGTTTCCTGGAATAATAATGTGGTAGCTTACCCTTGCTTTCCACATCCTCATGGCTTTAGACTATATTTGAACACCTTCAGGCCCAGATAATTTATCATTCTGAACTATCCTAAAGTTTAGGTACCTTTTTATTACAGTCTCATGAAAAAGAAATCTACAGCTATGAATCAGAAAAATCTGTAATAACAATTGAACCAGAATATTTTGACAAAACACGGCAGTAGAACAGAAAGAAGAAGCAAATGTGAAGAATATAAAGTGTTACAAACGAATGTAGTGTGTTCCTTAGGGCTGAAACTGTTGAGTTGATGGTAACTAGAATGTTCCAGCACAGGTCATGATTGTTTGGTATCTCACCCTTACCCCGGCTGGACTTCAAAAGAATCTGTACCCTACGATAGGCCTAATAGTACAACCTTACTGTTGAACGGTGTTTCTACTATTTGTACCAGTGGATTCTCATCCGAGACATGGCGAAAGGCACTTTGCGTCACATGGTGTAAATCGCTCAGTGTGCGGCTCTAATGGGGTTGATATTAACTCATTCAGTTGACGGTACTATTTATAGTTGTCAGCATTGCAAAGTCAGCAGTTCACCCCTCCCCCTTTTTTTCCCGCCCCCACCCTTCAGCTATTTAAAAACAAAGTAATTGACCTTAAAAAAATAATAATAGTTACATGTACAAAAACATCCAAACTGAACATTTAAAAAAATATATATTAACTGCATTTATAAGTCATGCATTATGAACATTTCAATAACAGCTATACGAATATTTTTTTTTGCGGTAGCTGTGCAATCTAAACATAGCTACCCCAACCCAACACACACACACACACACACACAAAAAAAGATCATCTAGAAAAGCCAATATAGATATGATAAAAGTATAATAATTGTAACTAAGAACTTTGCAAGCTGAACATAAAGTAACAGCAGTTGTATTTATATGTAAAACGATACAAACCAAACCTGAAAATCTACAGTGATAAAGTGCCACTATAGGGATGAGGATCACCCGTGGAGAGGTCCTAGAAACCCCGTTCAGCCGTTAGGCCATATTTATGGCCCGGCTATATTTAGGGCCCCTGGCAAAAGCCAGGGTGGGGCTTCACATAAAGAAAAATTGCATCCCACGTGGGGACGGTGCAACTTACATAACGATAATAATTTTTTTAAAGTTACAGACTTGTATAGTGATAAATAAAATGACAAAAATATTCTTCATATATAACCAATGTAAACTGCAGCCCAAAACCTACAAATGCTAACCTCAAATTTCACTGTTGATCCTGCAGGGAGCTAGTGTCATAGCCTACAGGTCAGATGACTTGAGAAAGTTCCAGATCTTTTCCTCCGGTTCATGGCCAGGTGGTCTCTACGGCAGCCCCTCTATGGCAGGAACACGACCAGGTGAGTGATAGACAAGCATAGAGTGGTATCAAAGGTTTACACTACAGAGAATCGTCCTACTTCCGAATATTTCTGGTCTTTCAGCATAATAGCCAGCCGACCGTCGAGGGCGTCGCACTAAAACAAAAATAATCCACTGCCTAAGTGGCTTGGCCTTCAGTCAAATCAGGAAAAGCTGCACTATGTGTATGTGTGTGTGTATATATATCTTCTTCTTCTATGTGTTCACCGGTTGTAAACTCTGACGAATAGTTCTGGCTGTTCGTTCACCTCTGGACTTTAGTCATGTTCCAGAACCTGAGTGTTGCGTCCAAATCCGTTTTGTAGATCTGGCTTATTTATATACAAACTTAGTTCCTTGTATCTCAGGCAGATGCACTCAGCCTTTGAAGAAAGCTTCGAAATAGTCGACTCATACGACATGCTTTTTTTTTGGGGGGGGGGGGGGGGGAGGCAGTGGATATATTCTTGTTTCTCCAACAATATTGACCGGGAAACACACACGGGGAGTGGGTGTATACAAATGTATGTTTTGCTGTATAACGATATCATTATTCAAGTCCTGCAGGCATTTGGCATGCCACTGGTAATCATGAACATTGGTATATCAAAACACATATACATATAGTCGTCCCCTTGTGGGATGCGTTTTTTCGGTATTTGAAGCCCTACCCTGGCTTTTGCCAGGGGACAGAAATATAGCCGGGCCATAAATATGGCCTAACGACTGAAAGGGGTTTCTGGGACCTCTTCAAGGGTGATCCTCATCCGCATCTTGGCACTTTGTGTCAACGGGTGTTTAACACTTGTTTGAAGTCCCTGTGGGGTTCAACAAGCGAGAGAGAGAGAGAGAGAGAGAGAGAGAGAGAGAGAGAGAGAGAGAGAGAGAGAGAGAGAGAGAGAGAGAGAATGAGAGAGAGAATGCATATACGTATATAACTCTGTGTGTTTGTATGTGTATATGGGCAAGCTCATTATTACTAATTATTATTTATGATTTGTTAGATTGTACAGTCAACCTCTAATACAAAATAATATCACTGTAATTTAAAATGCATGTCGTAACAGGCGTCTCAGAAGAATTAGTACGAAACGGGTTCTCTATGCAAACACCTGCCAGTTATAGTTACCTCTTTCAGGTGGAAACATCGCAGCGGCCTGGGCAGCAATAAACTCGCTTGGTGAGGAAGGATACATGTCTCGGGCAAGACAGTTGATGGACATCACAGACCAACTGAAAGCTGCTGTTACTGAAATTGAGGTAATATATTGTCCACGCGTATACTTGTGTAGTATGGCTGAGGTTGTTTCATGGGAATGGTAGGGCATATGTAGCTAGAACGCATTGCATGGAGGGGAAACATTTAGAAGGGTATACGGTGACAAGGGGGTGGGGGTGAATTGCAGACAGATAAAGCATTTGAGAATAAGTACTTAAATAATAGCAGAAGGAATGGTACCAGAAAGTAGCGGCTTGGGCCAGCAAACACTAAGATGGGCAGAGAGTATAAGTGACTCATTGAATATGAAAATGCAGGAGGCAGGAGAACTGGGGAGACACCGAGTTTCTTTCAGGTAGGCCGTGATGAGAGCGACGTTCTGCAAAGGACCTGCTTCGTGGTGATGACGTTAAAAACATGCAATGGCGTCAATGGCCCTGAAATCCCATGATCAAATTCCGGAAAACTGTCCTTGAACATGGGCAGGTCTTGTTAGTCACACTTGCCATCAACATTGACTTTGATTCCCATGTCTACCAAGAGCACAAATAATAACACTATCGTCTAGACACATAAAAGTTCTGACCAGACAAAAACTTTGTAAATTATAGAGTCACTGTAAAACTGTCACTGCTGTCTTCTGTATTGTACTACTTTTTATGGTGGAGTGTAGAAAGGGGGCGTGAGCTTAAGGATTTAGAGCCGCGTGGGTAGGGCTGTCGACACAAACTGTGAAGGTTAGGATGTTTAATGTTGCCACTGACAGAAAATCTCCATCACCTCATCGGGGGTCGAACTCGGGTCTCCCGTATGAGATGGCGACGTTGTAACCGCTCGGCCAGACGCTCCTCTAATATAGAGTAAGCAGTATAAAGTAAAGTGAAATTAAATAAACTGTAGTGAAGTGTAATGAAGTGAATCGCAGTCAAGTCAAGCCAAGTCAATTAACCATTTTCATGTACCGACGCATATTTCGTAAACGGTGCTCCCCCCATATTATCGACCAGTCATCATTCCTACACCGACTGCCTTTTCTTCCAGGACATTTCCTGCTACCTATATTAGACTAGAAGTCATGATAGCCAGGATTCAATGATCTTCCTAATACACCCATTGTGGATTAGAACCCAGAATCTTAGGGCCAGTAGAAATGTATTTAGCTGCTGTGCTACCATGACTGCCATACAATGATTTCATTTGGTTTATTTGTTAGCTACCTTGATGTGATTGGTAGGGGTTTAAAGATCTTCCATTTTGTAATTTATTAAATGTGAAGTGCAGTATTCAGAACAAGATTTGGATAAGTAAAGTAAAGGTCCCTCTTCCACGACTTTAAGCATATTGGGCATATAGGGCTAGACCTATATTTTATAAATCAGTCGGCACTAGGTGACAGATGTGCTGAACCATTTAACTGGTCGTCATTTTAGGCTGTTTCGACTTGAAAGGCAAAGTAATTTTTGATTTAAAAAAAAGTCCCGCTTTGTCAGAACCAGAACCCACGACCCTCCGATCTGCTGTCGATCGTCTAGCCGCTACACCACAGCCATACCCTAGAGTTGTATAAAGATATCATTAGTCAATGCCCCAGGCCAGCTGGCATGCTACTTGTAATCAAGAACATTAGTGTATCAAAATATAAAACGATAAGTAATCAATAAATAGACATACCCCAAGATAAGATGAGTTAAAAACAGATGTCATAGTTACTTGTTACATTTCCATAAGCGTCCAGTCCACGTTTTCAGCAGCCAGTACTTAGTTCCATTTCCGAAGAATACTAACAGTCTGATTGTAAGTCCGTCTTAAATTACCCCTGAGTGTTGAGTGTCCGCCCCTCAATAAACGGAAGCGGGAGGCAAAAAACAAAATAATAAAACGCGTAAAATCATGACTAATTACCGATATAATGAGGGCTAAAAGACGGTAATGGCAGGAATAGATAAAGCATAACAGATAACAGAGGGACAAAAGCTGCGTAGACAAAAGAGTGCAATGAGGGTAGACCACAAGGCAACCCAGGATGACGGTGAAGAAATAATTTACATGCAGCCTTACTAGCACTTGGTGTCACCAGCTGGAAAGAGAAGGTCAATCTTAGAGATGAATAGGGGCTGGTAATATCTGCAACAGTGAACCTAAGGACACAGAATGCTGAGAAGAAAGAAGAAGTAATGAATGAATACACATGGGCGAGCTCTCGACTGAATGTTGTAAACATGCCTGAACATCATCGACACTCGGCAAAGCAAGTGATGAAATAGCAGGTGAAGAAGATCATAAAAGGTTTGTGGTTTAGTCCCCCTAAGTGGATGATACTAATCCAAGCATGCCATTTGGCTCAGTGATATGAATAGCCCAAATCAACGTCCCAAGACCAGATGTCTTGCTGATTGCATCCTATTCGTATGTGAATACAATATCATTAATGTTGTACTCAATTATTTCCTTTATCTTATCCTCTTCGTATATGATAACAATATCATTCATCCATGAATGATATTGTACTGAATGACACCGATTGGGGAGCTGCCTCTCAAGACCGAAATGCATGGCGTGCAGCTCTACACAAGGGTGCAGCTACATTTGAAGCAAACAGAACAGCAAGACTGATTAGGAAAAGGATGGACAGAAAGGCGACGCAATAGATCACCTCCCAGGCACAACACTCATTTCCTTTCTTCACTGTCCAAGAACTTTTCGGGGCCACATCGGCCTCATCAGTCATCTTCGTACTCATACTTGATGAAAAAGATTGGTCATCGTCATCTTCATGGACAACATACACAATATTATTAATGCTGTACCTAATCATATCCTTTGTCTTATCCTGTTCTTGTGTGATTACAATAACAATAATGTTGTACTTAGTTATTTCTTTTGTCTCAGCCTGTTCGTATGTGATTACAATATCATGAATGTTGTACTTAATCATTTCCTTTATCTTCTTCAGGATTTGTATAAATATATTTATACTTCTAGTTTCTAGCTGCAGCTGATCATATTTCATTCCTGTAACACTGGACACCAAGATCCTGGTACTGACATGAAAGCAACCAGCTTGTATTTATGATGGGGTGTTTAACACGAAAATGACACTACATTTATTTACTGTCCGGCTTTTTTTTTTTTAGGAGACTGAGAGATGGTCATCTTTAAACTCTCAGCCTGCATATAGTCCGAATGTTAGCATTTCTAAACACCGTATTTTCAACCGAAGAATGCAACATATTGCGTAAATGGTATCATCCAAACACACACACACACACACTAATTAAGGGATGTATACACACACACACACAATAAAAAGGATGCAATCATTGCTAAAAGCAAACTCTTGGAGTGTGAATAAGTAATTTCCTCAATACGACTTCAATCCAGCAGTAGGGATGTCTCGAAAGTCTGTTGTCAGTGCTGACTACTTTTGTTATATTTGCGGGGAAGTGACATTTGCAGGCGCAGCAATACTGAAAAAGGGGCAAAATCAAGGGTTAGGACAATAGCTGGACCTCTTACTTATCCTGCAGTACCTGTGTAAAAAAAAGTGGACAGAAGGGAAACATTTATCGTGCCGTTTTTTGAAGTTCCAATGGTTTGGAGAGAGCCCAGCAATAATAAAGGTAACTGATATGTCCAGCTTTGTCAGGATGGGTCATAAGAAATGTATGTGTGTCCTGAGATTCACAGGCTTTTCGGGACAGGATGTTTTACTATCGATTAATTCGATTAGCTGTTCGGCAACCAAATTTCTTGGTAATATCAGAGCTGAAAACTATAAGGAGCTGGTTGAGGAAATTTCTACCTTTAACATCTTTGGTTGTAATATCATAGTAATATCTCTTTAAAAATCCACTTCACCAATTCCTGTTTGCACTAATTCCATACTAACCATGGCATGTTCATCTATTTCATTGCAAGCATTTTCACCAGGACACTGCTGCAATCGAGAAACGATAACATGGAGACTTGAACACTTCCATGACGCCTTGTTACTGTTGAACACTCATTAGAAATTATCACGAACAGCTACACCGACGTCAGACAAAGCGATCTAGGAAGTAGAAGTGGTCTTGTATCTGTACATGTGTCCATCATTTCATATACTTGTTCACAAGAACTATAGTCAGAGTCTATACAGATGGGTCCGCAGAAAGAGCAGTTAGAAATGGTGGTGCTGGAGTGTACATAGAATTCCCAGATGGTACTAGGGATAAGTCCAGCGTACCAACCGGAAAGTACTGCCATAACTATGATGCAGAAACTCAGGCTATCAAGATAGCAACAGAGAAACTGCTAAATACCAATCTTGGCTCCCAGTATGTAGTAATGCTGACAGATGCAAAATCAGTACTAGAAGCACTCCAGTCTATGAAACTACCAGAATAGCAAACACTGCTGACACAACTTAGCCTTCGGCAAAGAGTTGTAATGCAGTGGATACCATCACATTGTGGAGTGCCTGGAAATGAGAAAGTTGATCAACTGGCAGGAGAAGGTGCGATAAAAGGGCAGCCGGATGTACCAGTCACATACTACCAAAAGAAAAGAATCATTAAATCAATCTGGAAACCACCAGCCCCAGCACAAAACAACTATTTTATTTTGGACAGATCAGAACAAGTCATTATCCTCCGCCTCAGAACAGGGCACAACCGATTACGTAACCACATCTACACAAAATTCAAGATAGGCGTATCAGCCATGTGCACCTGTAGAAAGGTGCCCCAGACAGCAGAGCATGTACTCCAGGACTGCACCGAATTTGACACATTAAGGCAAACCTTTTGGCCAGAAAGAACGTAACACATATAGAACCCAAGAACATTGGAACGTAAACTCTATGGACCACTAAATGAATTAACAACAACAGTGAAATTTATACAAGAGACAAAATTGCTGATATAGTCAACTTATTTCAGGCGAACGAAAGAGGAAGAAGAAGATATACTTGTTATTCGTTACTAGCTCAGTGACTGTTCGAAGCAATTAATGGCGAACACAACACATGGCAACTTGTTTTAGTGTGAACTAACTCATTTGTTGCTGTTTTATGACATTTGTAGAGGAAAAAACATAAGAGTGTCCGTAAAACATAAAACATATAACGCTATTATATATAAATATTTTGTTTTTCAGATTTCATCGAAGCTGTAGACAATTTTCCTTTTTCATTGTCATTTCATGTTCAGCACCTTGAAATGAGTTTTAACAGAAATTGCCATTTTCATTTGGATGCCATGACTTTCGTCAATGTTGTTGCTCAGTGTAATAAGCCGTCATAATTTAATCATCTTGATGACCTCCAACTTTCGGAAAGAAAAAAAACACTGCGAGAATTAAGATCAAAATTGAGTAAAATATACTGATACTAGGGACGTTGTCAATACTAATTTTTTGTGCCATGTTTGTATCTTTTAGGGATTGAAGATAATAGGAAATCCTGTCATGACTTGTTTTGCTATAGGCTCCAGCGACCCCGATGTTGACATTCTGGCTGTTGCTGATGTCATGGAGAAAAAAGGTGAGGCGTTGTTACCTATTACGTTGTAGTATAGACACCGTAGGGTAGCGATTTTTTAGCATTTTCCTCCTGAGTCTTGGAACCCATTGAAAGGAGAGGACGAACACAATAGACTCAGAGCCACTAACAAGTATATTTGAAAGACTGGAGCTGGATATGTCAGTGTTTGAAGGAGCAGACGTCTAAGCCTAGCCATAAACTACGTCACAGCTTAGCTGTAAACCACATTACATTTATTAAATGCCTTTCTTAATGGTGAACGAAGAAATCGATTTTTGCATTATAGAAGGCACTGCTGATAGGTAATAATATATATATATATATATATATATATATATATATATATATATATATATATATATATATATATATATATATATATATATATATACACAAATGCACACACACTTATTTTCTGCAGGTTGCTTTCATTATGGAAGATTGTCCCTTCTGATAACTAAATTAGACGAATAAACAGTCCGTAACTTGCCATATAGAACAATAACTTTCTTTTTCTTAACCTCACTAAGTTACGGCCTACTCGGTTTACTATTACGAGTGTAGTCTTGGGTTTCACTTTTTTATTTATCTAGGCTGGACAATGGAGCGTCAACAAAACCCAAGTTGTGTGCACTGCACGATTCTACCTCATCATCAGATATCATGTGACGACTTGGCTGGCGATCTTAAGGAGAGTGTTACCATAGTTAAAGTAAGTAGCCCGCATCGTGATACAGTGATGTGTAATCTTTAACTACTTGATATTGAGTTACAGTTAAACTGACTGTGTAATTGTCACTTTGTGGACATGCTTGACACTGAAGCCAGTAATGCTGGAGTGGGATAGGAGTAAAGGGGGGGGGGCATTTTTTCTATAACGGTAAAAAAAGCAAGATCACTCAAGACGCCCTCACCTCACCAAGGTCCAGATTGTGAACAGAATACAAACTAACGGAGAGGATTGGCTGCACCAGTGTTGCCATACTGCCGAGATGCACAGCGGTGACTAATAGATGGGATTCTTCTACACCAGGCGTTACCCAGTACAGAGCTAATTGAAACTATTAATGCTAAACCTTGAAAGCTCCAGTTATATTTTGATCTCTGCATAAAATTTTATGTCATGTTTGCCTGCTTGAGGTTATTTCCTTAAAGAAGAAGACAAAATCATGAACTAGAAGAGGAAGAAATTGAAGAGGAAGAAGAACGATTTTGGTTCTATAAAAAAAAAAGTTTTAAATCCGCATTAAAAAAAAAGTTATTATTAAATATAAAATTGTGATACTTATTCAATGTCGACAGGGCAATAAACAGTTATCAAAACAGGGAACTGCAGGCATGTACGGCATGATGGCAACCATCCCCGACACGGCAATAGTGGAAGACTTTATCAAGGAGTTCTTTTCCGAAATATACAAGTTACAATAACGGCGCGAATGTATCTCAGCAAGAACAAGTGTAATGTGATCTTGTACAGGCTGATGAGAAATGTACTGAAATCGTGTAAATATAGGTCAACTGTATACAAGACATAAATGTATACATACCTGTACACTTAGCAGGTTTTCCAGCTCAGAGTGGTAAGTGATATAAGGCTCACACATTATTGGGCCTAAGTCATTACAATTTTTTAATACCGCTACGGTGCTGTTCAAACAAGCATGCTTCCTATAGTTTTAACATGGGTTACGCAGGTGAAGAAGAGGAAACGAAGCACTGTGGAATAATATCTAGAATACAACATTATTTGCAGAAATTCAAACACACGTGATAGTAGCAGAGTAAAATCGGCAGAAGTAGTTAAATTAAGGAGATGGACAGCCCAAAGCTGAATAGGGTACAAAAAGAAAGGTCAAAAGTGTGGCCTAAGTGGCGCTGGAATACACGTCGCTGACTAGGAAGAAAACGTCTAAAATGTGCCTTAGTGAGGCTGGAAAACACAGCGCTGACTAGGAAGATAACGTCTAAAATGTGCCTTAGTGAGGCTGAATAACACAGCGCTGACTAGGAAGATAACGTCTAAAATGTGCCTTAGTGAGGCTAAAAAACACAGCGCTGACTAGGGAGATAACGTCTAAAATGTGCCTTAGTGAGGCTGGATAAAGCAGCACTGACTATGAATAAAACGTCTAAAATGTGCCTTAGTGAGGTTGAATAACACAGCGCTGACTAGGAAGAAAACGTCTAAAATGTGCCTTAGTGAGGCTGAAAAACACAGCGCTGACTAGGAAAAAAAAACGTCTAAAATGTGCATTAGTGAGGCTGGAAAACGCAGCGCTGACTAGGAAGAAAACGTCTAAAATGTTCCTTAGTGAGGTTGAATAAGATAGCGCTGACTAGGAAGAAAACGTCTAAAATGTGCCTTAGTGAGGCTGGAAAACACAGCGCTGACTAGGAAAAAAACGTCTAAAATGTGCATTAGTGAGGCTGGATAACGCAGCGCTGACTAGGAAGAAAACGTCTAAAATGTGCCTTAGTGAGGTTGAATAAGATAGCGCTGACTAGGAAGAAAAAGTCTAAAATGTGAATAAGTGGCGCTGGATAACACAGCGCTGACTGGGGAGAAACAAAACAGTGAATTGTAAGTGGGGTTGGAGAGAACTGGGGCACACCGTCGGAGATAGTATACGTTGAAATACATGAAATATATGATAAAAGGTGAATTTAATGTAACATTCGAAACATTGTATTTTACCGCAATGTTGTAAATAATTCAGTTGGGAAGTGAAAGTGTGACTCACTATTAGAAGACATTTTTGTTGTTTTCTGTTAGTTTTTTTTTTTTTTTAAACAATTTGATGGATAATATGCAGTTATGACAGTAAAGAAAACAAAATAATATTTTTCGCATTTATTGAAAACACTTGAAAAATTATTGGACCATTAATGAACGAGAAAAAAATATATTATTTAATTTAATTTAAAGAAGAAATGAAATGCAATCGTTGTTTTTTCAGTATACAAATGTGTGTCACAGATAATAAAAGTGTGCCGTACCAAATTAAAAAATTTTTACTCCTGAATTGTACTTTTTGAATTCCTTTGTACAAAGAAAGAAACAATTAATTTTATTAAAAATGTTTTCTCGTAATAAATTTAAATAATGCCGATAAAAACAATACATTGCGGCAAATCTTCCTGCATTTCATCAGGTGCAATACTGCAGTTATATCAGTACTTAATGAAGCAAACGAAAATGAATAAACTCGTCGACAGACAACATTGTCTCTTGCTATCCATTATTGTCAAATTGCTGGAGGAAGTTCACGACAGTCACGTGACTTACCAGGGCAACTTCAAATCAGCAATTAACTCTTTCTGTATAAGAAATGTTTGCATTTTGTCTTTTAGTTGATTGACGGTTTCAACGACTTCTATGAGCTTAAATGTATCTTTTAACGTTCTGTTGTCAAATAACTGAGTGACTATTTACAGTACTTTGACTAACCATTTCGCCATTTGATGCTCGGCAGAGTAAATCATAGATAAGATCAACCTTAGAGGTGTTACAGTCTTATGTAATTTAGAGAGCCCAAACATTTGAGGGATCTGTGAACCAGAAGGATAAATCATTCTTGCACTCGCATCATTGATAAACTTACTGTTCAGGAGCATCTGAATTTCTTTCTTTATTTTGGACTCTAAGTCTTTAATTTACTTGTTTTGGTATCTGGATTGGTCCAATAATACGTCTTCCATCTTGGCTTGGGAGCCAAATCTAGAGACAACTTATCACAGACATCAGAAGGAGACAGTCATCATTTTTCGGCCATATTATGAGAAGAGAGAAATAGAACATGTTGTGACCACTGAAAAAAAAATCTGTGGAAGCAGGGATAGAGGAAGACAACAAGAGAAGATGCTTGACAGTCTTGTTGCATGGCATGGAGGTGGGTCGGCACACGAACTGATACATGCTGCAGGAGAT